GCATAACGTTGTATAGAAGCTGAGCTGAGCTCAGTGTGAAGAGCAGGATGAGGGGAGGGGGATGCTGGTGGCGGAGAAATCCATGCTCGATGTGAAACTGGAAGGGACTTAAGGTGCACTCTCTGCTCAGCAGCTCCACCTACAGGAAGAACATTGGATTGCAACGGTCTTTTGAAAGTCCCCCGTGTATTTAAAGAGAGGCACAAGAACCTTATTTCACCCGGGAATGCCTCTGAGTTCTTCAGAAGCAACCTTGACCTGGCATTGAAATTTTTACCCTAACGGTCACTGTGGACACTGTTGGATTTGTCTGCTTGGTCTTAACATTTGGCTTGCTGAAAAGTCACACTTCTACGAGGCTCTAGATATGTGCCTTCCCAGCTTAGATTCTGCCCCCTTTTCTACTCCTGCCTTTGTGTTTTTGACTTGGTATCCATGTTTTCTGATTTATTCCCTGTATAAATCATTTAATAATTTTTAGGCAACAAACTAGCACTCGTTGATCCAGAGGCATCCCAGTTATCCTTTTCTTACTCCCACAGTGGCTCTAAGAGAATCAGCGCTCTTCATAGAAGCATCGGCCTTCTCTGAATGGTAGTCCATGTCTATAAATCCCAGTTCACCAGGAAGTACTTATCTTATTCTCCTAGATGCTTGGGTTTGAGGGAGCTGTCGAGATTACTGAATTTGATGCCTCTCCCACTCAGTATGCAAATCCAGTTATATCAATGATTGCAAAATAAGACACTTACCATCAATTCATCCTACTCAGCATCTCGCACGTGTCATCTTCTCAATTGCTCCTGCTGCCCAGTTCTGCGAGGTACACACTGTTGCCTTCACTTTATAGTTTAGGCAACAAAGGCCACTGTTTCACCCAGACTCCACATACAGACTCTTGACACAGACCTTCAAACTTCCACGCGGATGTCAGCCGTAACTAGGAAATCATGAGCTGTGGGACATCCTGCTGACTTTTGGAATCCTGGCTTTTAGAAAGAAGTTCATGAGGCTGAACTGGGAGCCCTCTCCCCATTTTTACCCATTGTGCTGGTTTCCAGATTAGTAACCCAGTACAAGCTTAAATTCCATCTCCAAACTTTCTCTTGAAATCTGCAAAACATCTCCAACTTCAGCTTTCCCTCTTTTAGCTGCTTTTGACAATCCCTGATTACTACAGTGTGCCTTCCATTATCATACTCTTGCCTTGGCCTCAAAATTGTAAGTTCACATTACATTGTCAATGATGAGTTCCTAAAGTCTTGTTTTCCCAATAAACTTCATTAGCTAATCAAACGACTTACGAGACAAAGTCCTTTCCCACAAGGGAAAATTATTCATCTTTCTCAGATGACAACCTGCAAGGTAATACATTCAGTGCACTGTTTGTTGTATGGAACTGACTGTAGATATGATAGAAAATCCAGTTAAAAGAAGTGAAGTTGTCAGCAGCCATCAGGGAAGGCTTTGGGAAGGCTCATAGCTTAACCTGGGTTTTCTCAGTTGGGAAGGCCTGGGAACTTCAGAACAGAGGGATCTGGATGGCAAACTGCAGGGATAAATCACAGGTGTGTGCGGAAAGCAAAGAGCAGATTGGCTCTGAACAACGACCTGGTCCATGAGGAGGGGGAAGTGAAAGATGGGGATGAGGGTGGAGGCAGGGGAATATTGAATATTGAGTTGAAGGATTCATGCATGTGATCTTGGAATCAGTGAGAGAGACCGAGTTTATTTTAAGGACATTTCCTCCAGTCCAGCCTTTCCTATATCTCCCGTTTGCAGGCCCAGTGTTTCTCTGCAGGGCACCTATGCTAATTTCTATCACCATTCCAATTTCCTCCCAGCTAGCTTTTCTGTTTCTGTTGATCTCAATCCTAGCCCCTTTCTTTATTTTGCCCAAATCCCGCTTTACCCAGCGAACGCTGAGACTACAGTGAACCTCTTCCTTCCCTGCCTGGATCATGCTCAGACAGCTGCCTGCCTCCTGTCTCAGCTGCTTCCCGTGCTCCTTAGGCACACCTGCCAGACACAGCCGCACAAATAAGTGCTCTTTCTGTTCAGTCTGCCTCCCATTTGCTCACATTGTCTGCAGGGGAGAATCCCCATGCCCCTGTTTTCTAGCTGTTCCCCCTACAAACGTGAAGCTGTTCTGTTACATGGTAGGTTCATGCCTGCTTCTTCTATGTGGAGTCCCTAGTCCCCAGGACTTCTCCTAGTAAGAATATCCTTCAAGATAAAGCTTGATGGGGTCTCTGGGGACACTTTCTTGGTCTACCTGAGCTGAATTAAGTGATCTCCTTTTAGATAATCTTGGGCTATTTCACAAGCATCCCATACACAGCCTGTGTAGATAGGCACCTATCACATTGGTCAAAAAAGCAAGAGAAACTCATGGAGTCATCATATCCTTATTGAAAAACTATCAAGGACTCCAGAGTTGAAGCTGAAGATGAAGGCTTGAAAGTAGAAGCTAAATGAAATGCAGGTGTCTGGCTTCAGGAACTACAAAAATGGGGCTGGGTAACAGATGAAGTCGGCTCCCTCTGTATCTCCCCACTGCAGGGACGGGGCTGGTCTCCAAATGTTCCCACTACTCTACACAGAATTCTCACTTATAGAGAAGTCTTCAGTTAGGGAATCGCTACCATTTATTTTCCACCAAGTCCTCTGACTTCTTAATTGGTATGACTAATGTCTTTCTCAAGGCAGGGGGATGTGCAGATTGACCATTAAGAGTTCCAAAGAGTAACTCTTCAGCCAAGAACCCTTGACAATCCAGGAAGTGAATATGAGGTCACAAGAACCAACCATCCTCCTGACTCAGAGAAGTGAGGGAGGGAAAGTACAGTGGGGAGCTGGAGGCATACATAGCAAGATAATATCTCACAACAATTTCCAGAATTCGGTAGCTGATAATAATTGCTCATTTAAGTGTCCCGAAGCTTTAATTTGGTAAGTCTGTAATCAATGGCAATTTTTGCCTGGAGGTAGCAGAAGGCTGAGTGACAGATGAAAATAGTGAGTTCCTGCGTGTTACTCATCCTAGTAGTTGGAAGAGTGAACAGAAAGACTTACATGCTTGCAAATGGGAAAGAGGGGTAGGATGAGGAGGAGGAAGAGGAGGAGGAGGAGGAGGAGGAGGAGGAGGAGGAGGAGGAGGAGGAAGCAGCTAAGTCAAGGCTTTGCAGTGAATATAGGGAAGAGGTTCTAGAAATTTTAAAGGTGGGTTCTGGTTGTCAGTGGAGATGGCTACTCTCTCACTGGATTCATCTTCCCAAGTCTTCAGCTGGTTTCCCAACAACCTGCCTAAAGCTCTGTTCAAAGAGCATCCTTTTCAGGGTTATGGAGTTTATGTTTTCTCAAAGAACCCAGGCCCAGGAGTAATTATTTCCATATAACTTCATTTGCTTTTTGTATGTAATTGTTAGTACCTCCTAACTTACTTGTTCTGGACTCAGAACATCTCCTAGTTCCAGAAGACAGCTGGCTTCCTACATTAGGTTCATTCTTTACATCCTTGTCTTCCCACCTCTGCAGCTCTGTCTGTCTGTCTGTCTGTCTGTCTGTCTCAGCGTTTGTAGGCCCATGGTGCCTTGTAAAACCCTTTAAGGACTCCATCCTGCCAGTTGGCAGTCAATGTAGTCCTTATCAAAACCAGTCTTTGAATTAGATGTTTTAGCTCTTGTACCTTTGCATGTCTTTGACCTCACTTTGGATATGACAGTGAGAATTTCAGAATCCACTCAACGAGCCGAGTACCAAGCCCAGGCTGATCCTCACCAATGTCTTTTCAAGAGGTCTTATTGCCGTATCTTCTGCCTGTCACAGCTTCCTAACCAGGCAGAAGAGAAAGTTGCTTCTATGGAATGGTTTGGAAGGTTCCAGTTTTCAAATGGTTTTCTTATAGCTTTATGTTCCGTCTAGCATCCACCAGTCACAGGGAATCACGGTGATGCAAAACACAGAACACAGGATTTGGATTCAAAAGATCCATATCTTTGATTCTTGGCTCTTCCTATTTTGTTTTTGTGACCCTGAGCAGATCAGCAGGCTTTCTGGGCCTTGATTTCTTGTAGAAAACAATAGGCGGAAGTAGTTGTAATGTTCTGTGGTCATAAGAGTAGTCACAGTCTACAGCAGTTAATTACACATTACAAATAACCAGCGGAGGCGAGTCTGAACGTTCCTAACAAATACAAATGATAATATTTGAAGATATGGAAATGCTGATTACCTCGATCTGATCATTACATCTTCTGTATACGTGTTGAATTATAATACCGTGACCCATGAATAAGTACAGATATTGTCAATTAAAAATAACATGAAAGGCTTTTTTGAAAACCCCAAAGCTATGTTCACATGCTCATTTTTGTTGGTCTTCATTAATTCAGTCCTGGGAGACTTTTACCTTCTAGAACCAAGTATTAATTTTAAATTCTCAAAGGAGGGGTAAGATTTTATGCATATAAGCTAACACCTTGCAGCTTAGAATCAGAAAACAAGTATTGGAGAAAGATCTAAAGTGATAGTCTTGGGGAAATTCAGAAGCTACTGCCATGAAGAAGTGGTTAACCTTTTCCTCTGAGAGTAAAGCAAACATTTCTTACAGTTTCTTTCTATGTCTGATATCTGACAACATTAAACCAAAGACACAATGAACTACCCACTTAGAGATAACTTCTGTTGGCTTATTTACAGAGCAAGAGTAAACCAAAGCCACACTGAACTACTCATTTGTATATCACTTCTGTTGGTTTATTTGTACAGCAGGTAACCTACAAAAGCCCTGATTTGTGCCAGGCTTTCTTCTGCTCACTTAGGATGTGCTGAACCCATATTTCTGTCCTCTGGGAGCAAACAATCCATCATGTGAAACATACAGGTGATATATCCATTCTGATATGGTAGCCCAAGTGCTTAGGTGAGCAAACCGTCATGTGGTACAGGACTTATTAGAGACTGCTTAATCCAGGCAAACCAGGTTAGATAAGACTTACCAGGGGAAGGATCTCTTATGCATCAGCCAGGTAAGAGGTGGTGAAAGATGCAGAGCGGTCCAAGCCAACCGAATGGTCTAGAGAGAACATGGAGGGGATGGGAATATAATTAATTTGAGGATCTGAGAATGAACTGGTGCAGACTAAGCAGAGAACGTGATAGGAAGTTGGGGAGGTGAATAGAGTATGTTAACAGGCTCTGTGTCACATGAAGACCTTTAGGCAGGAAGCAGCGGGTCACAGAAAGGTTTTGTGTAGGTAACTGGCATTCAGTACTGTATGACTCACAGTGTATTAGCATAACTCTTGATTTGACTGATCTCCCTGCCCACTCACTAGGCTGGGAGCTCCAAGAGAGCTGGAGAATGTCCTATTAATCACTGGATTCCCCAAGTGCCTGGCTTATAGTAGGCACTATATTAGTGTCAATGGAAATGAACAAAACTTATTGTCCCTTCTTCTGTACCTTCTGTCATGGCTCATGGGATAAACTGGCATGAAATTGGAAAGGTGAAGTAAGAGTTTAGTGGAAGCCAGAAAAGGTCTCTCTCTCTCTGCCCCTTCAGCTAGTGGAAGCCCCCTTTCAGAGGGTGGCATGCTTCAACCCTTACTCCTTCTGGGTCCTCAGGAAAGAAAAGCTGTCTCAGGCTTCTCAAAAAGAATCTGGGAGAACAGTTCGTAAGGTATCTCCTGTTGAGTCTTGATGTTCCCAGTTAGTTCCCAGCAGGCATTGTTTCATCACCCCCGTCTGTACGTCTGTATTCAACATGCACAGGGCCCACCAGCCTGGGTACCACTTTCTCTATGCTGGCACTCCCTCTTGACACACCAGTCTAAGCAGACATGTGCTGGGAGACACTGTCTGTTATGCATCCTCTCATGTTCCATACGAGATGGGACCTGTTTGCCAGGAAAAGCGACATGCACGTGATGGGCTTTCCAGTGAACATGAGGTGGAGAAGAGATTTCCTTTCAGAAATATGATCGGCTAGTGCCTTGAACTTTATTATAGATAATACTGATTCAAAGCTTTCAAAGCCTAACAACCAGGTCTCATTGCAAGTTCTGACATGTCAGAACTGGACAGGTCACTTACAGCGAGTACTTCCTGGCTAGAGACACTCTTAAGTAACTGGAAAATCAATGTTTCAAAACCTGACACAGAAACCATGGTTAAACTGAGGCATGATCAAAGCTGAAGTATAATTGGCATCAGACAGGAATCAGGTTTTCCTCTTTAAATCTTGTTCCTGCGAGCACTATCCCTCTTGCTTTTATTCTAAGAGAGAATGCTGTTTGATATACATTCCTATTTAATACGATACAATCTAATTATAAATCTATGCAGCAAGACTTTGTCCTCTAAGAGCCTTAGTGACTGGTGGTTACTTATAAAACCCTAAAGTGACCATTACTGTCAGGGGACAATGGCCTAATGCCAACCACCATCCTGGGGAACTCTGACTAACTTTTAACAATCTTGTCATGTAGCCTTCACCTCTTCTGTTGATTTAGGGCTCTTGCCTTTTCAGTTTTCAGTCCCTCATGGCTTGCCATAGTTTACTCCCTACATCTCTTACTTGGCCCTCCAGCCTGTCTCTACCTCTGCATGTTTCTTTGTGTTACTCTGTCCCTTTGTAACATTTTGTTCCATCCCTTGATCTTCCTGCCTTTCCTTTATTCATCTCTGTGTATCTGTACCTTCCATATGTGTTCCCACCTCCTGGCTGCCCCTCCCTCCAAGGTGGATAGCCATGAAAGATGCCCGGCATGGCTTCTCCACACTGGTGTGTTGCTAACGCAGACTCCTTGCCGCTCTCAGTAGAAATAGCTTTTGCCTTTTGTTGCCAAATCGAAATCTTCTCAGCAGTAAAAATGTGGCTTATGAAAGCAAGTACCTTGTAATTAAATAAATGGGTAATTTCAGTGTTTTTTATTTCTATTTTTCTTTCTGAGGATTTTCTTAGTAACAGGAAGGAATAGATAGACCTGCTTTACTTCCCACTGACGGATAAGATAAAATAAGTCCTTCTGTATTTAGGTTTTATTTGGCTATTTGTGATAATTAATAAGAAGGGAACATCTGTCCTAGTGATGGAGAAGAAGAGAAGGCATGGAGGGGGGAAAAACCTGGCTGCATCAATAAAGAGTGCTGGGAAAAGATACAGTTGGCAAAAGGACTGGCTGAATTATAATTTGGAGAAGAGTTAAAGAAAAAAAAGTAAGGGTTTCATCAAACACATCAGAGGATAGCATGGTCTTGAGGAGATGGGCTCATAAATGAACGAGGTGATGATGACACATGACAAATATAAATGGATGGATACTCTGAGGGAGGGTGGAGCCAAGGAGAAGACAAACATATGGAGTCTTGATGAAGCCATGTCCCATAATGGTGCTCGCTGGGTGGGAAGGAAGTTAGCCAACGTGAATTGTGACTGCTTCCAACCATTCTTCCGGACCTAAGGTAGCTGAGGCTGTGTCCAAGCAAACAGTATTAAGGGACTCTGAGGTGATCACAGAGTCCCAGAGTGAGAGTAGCAGGATCCGTGGCTGGAGGGAGCTTCCACACCAGCTGAGAGGACTGAGGACCTTGGGTACTGGCCCAGAGTGCATCTCATTGCAAACAGTTGACAGTACCCATCTCACTCCCTTCCTTGCTTTGTTCTACCTCCCACCCTGACTCGCTTTCTCATTCTCTCATAAAACAAAGGCATCACAGTGCATCTCTATGCCTACTGGATGCTTAGATCCCATGCACTCCCCAGTGTTTGTACATTAGTCCTACATAGAGGGGTCACGGTTCTCTCTTTGCAGTACAGAGAGCAAATAAGATATTTACCCAGAAAGATCATGCTATCTTTGCATGGATTGATAGTTGTCCTTTGGAACAAGACATCAAGCAACCTAAAAATAATTAACCCTCATAAGCCCAGGATGCTATCTCTCTCAGCCAAAACTTTCATAAAGTTTCAGTATTGTAATGAAATACCGGGTCAATATTTGAACTCCAGTAAAGCTGCACCATATTAAAATGTGACTCCATAATGAACTTCAGAATCATGACAGACTCTCATTAGTCAAACCATTTGCTCACAGGATTCCTTAGGTCTCCCCACAGAGGGCTTTCTTTGCCATATTTTATGATGTTGTTTATAGTAGTGAAGTTTCTATCTACTAAAATGTCTTTTTAAAAACGTCATGCAGAATATAAAAGTGACTTTGGTAAATCTTTACCTTTTAGACTTTTAAAAATCATATTTCTTGGATAAAAGTAATACGATCTTATGAGTAACTACTGACATACAGATCAGAACTCTCAAGTTCAAGTCCATGGCCACTGATTTTACTTGCTGTGCAATTTCTCAGGGCCTCAGTTTCCAACACATACACCTCACAGAATTTCAGCGAAGATTCAATTTGCCTGATGTAGACTCCATTGTTTGGGCTACAGCAACTACTTAAGGCATCATAAGAAACACAGTGTCAGCTGTTCCTGCCATGTTGTTGTGGCGTTTGATGCAAACTCTGTAACATAATCACTTATCCAAGGATCAAAATTATCATTGATCTTTACATAGAATTATGAGGAATAATCTCTTGGGATCTCTTTTATTGGCAAGTGAGAGGAATCCAACTAAAGAGCTTTTATTCAGTTAGCAAACACATATTGAATATTTCTGTCAGAAACTCTTAGTGTATGCGTTTGAGTGTCGATGTGTTACTGTGTGTCTGTGTGTATGTATGTGATATGTATGTCTTGTATGTCAATGTATTTGGCTCTCTGTGTGTATGTGTGTGTGTCTGTGTGTGTGTCAGTGTTTATTTGTGGTTGTGCATGTGTGTCATGTGTATGTCAGTGTGTACATGTGTGTTTATCTTTGTGTGTGTGTCTGTGGTGTGTGTGTCTGTGTGTATTGGTGTGTATCTGTGTATGTGCATGTGTATGTATCAGTGTGTGTGAATCTGTGGTTGTATGTATGTCTGTGGTATGTGTCTGTGTTTATGTGTGTCTGTGGTGTATGTCTGTATCTATGTGTGTCTCTGTGTGTGTCTGTGTATGTCTCTGTGTCTATGATGTGTGTGTGTGTATCCATGTATGCACTGAGGTTCTGGTACTGAGAAAGCTTTGTGCCTAGTTTAGGGTGCTATATTTTTATATAGAGTGACAAAAAAAATAAAAATAAAGGATAATAAAAACATACCAGATTGTGATAAGAAATTAAACAACATGCTGTACAGAATGTTGCTAAGGCATCAGAGATAACTTGGATCTGTAGGACAGAGCAGGCTATTCTGAGGCCTTCAGATGATGAAAGGAAAGCAGCCATGCAAGCTCTCTGGGCAGATGAGCAAATGTAGAGGCCTGAGGCAGAGAACAAGCCTGACAGGTTTGAGGAAAGAAGACTTAATTAAGGAAGACGAGCTGGCAAGGTGGACAGGAGCCAGATCATGAAGTCTTATGGACCATGATGAGAAAGTCTGGATTTGATTAATTATTGGGGAAGCAATTGTGAGAAATTAAGCATAAGAGTGACACTCTCTCACTCAGATTCTGAAAATGTGTCATGCAAAGATGGGAAATAACTTCAGGAGGTTAGAGATATTAGCAGGAAAGTAGTTAGGAGGCTGTTGTGGTTGACCAGATGGAGAAAGTGAAGATGGAGAGAAGAGACCTATTATAGGGATGGAAGCAGCAGTATTTGAGGGATGAAAGTGATGTCTGGGATGTAACATTTGGAGGTTCTAGAAGTCTTTGGTTTCTGGTAAGTATGCTAGATAGGGTGGCATATGCTATTATTCCTAGCAATCATGAGGCAGAACAGGCTGATCTTTGTAAGTTCCAGGCCAACCACTGCTACATAGCAAGATCCTGTCTTTAAAAAAAAAAAGAAAAAGAAAGGAAGAGGAAGAAATAAAAAGAAAGAAAGAAAGAAAGAAAGAAAGAAAGAAAGAAAGAAAGAATAATTTAGTGATCCTGTTTGCTAATGCAAAGATGGGACAGATAAGATGGATGCAGGGGTCAACCAGGTTAGAGAGAGGTGTGATGGTTAATTTCAATTGTTTGCTTGATGGG